CAACGACTCTAAAAACAACATCAGTAGCACTTACTAGCTGGTTTATTTGTTCTGAAAGGCCCAAGAAGTCTTGGAAAAGAACCATTCAATTTTACTTTATGTATTTTTTATTGTAATGTTTTCCAAAAATATTCAGTGGATAACTTGAAGAGAAGTAGTCAGGAAACAGTTGCAGGATGAAAAAACTTACTCTTTCATATCCTTTATTTCATTATTATAAAGGTTTTTGATATTGCAACTTTTGTTCAGCTTCAAATTCAATCTGAAAAATTGTACAGTTTAGTCATTTTAAAAATTCCATATAACAAGTCCAATGAAAATACAACTGAGTCCCAGAGTTTGTCATTAGGCATTCATAGGAATGGTATTTAGATGATGTAGTATTTCTCTGATATCTTTTGGTAGATGACAAAAAATTTAGCATTTGATAATTTCAACATTAAGGAGAATTTGATGATGGAAATTAAGTACCTACATTATTTTTGAGCCACTTACCATCTTCTGATATGGTTCTGTGGTTCTCTTTTCCCTTAAAGAGAAATTCCACCTAGAAGACCCTACAATAGAAGTGGTCCTGAAAGACAAATCTATTTGTTTTCCCTGCTTCTGCTCAGTGAAACTTTAAGGTGGAATGAAAATCAACCAAGAGACGCTAGTATCTACTGCATTCTTAGTTGACATAGATGTAAAAGTCCTACTTCTATGTAATCCAAGATTTCAATCTCAGATGTTTGTCTTGGCAACAAAAGGAAATTTTTAGAATGGAGACCTTTCACTGTTCCTGTTCTCAAAGCCATTAGGTTATTTAATTCAATTCTTGTGACCTAGAAGGTGGGATATTAAAACAAGTTAAATAGAAAACTGGCTAGAAGGTCATGTAGGCTTATTGCTTCTTATTTTCTTCCAGTTTCCTTACTTTCAAGTTGTGATAAAGAAATTAGATTAGAAGGAGGCAATATAGAACAGTTTGAATTGGTCAATATTTAGTTGCAGGTATCTAGCAACTTACACACAAATTACTTGAAATCTAGACAAATGTGTCAAAACCGATTTTTTAGATCTTTGATTAATCAATCTGTATTTCCAACATTTTTGTTCTTTCCTTGCAACAGCATCTTACCCTAACTTTCAAATTATCTTTGAATGACTAACAATAAAATAATAATGATAACAAATGTGTCTAAACATTACATTGCATATACTCTATCACCACTTTTTAACATTTGTGTATATATTTGCCTCATAAGCTGCAAACTCATAGTTGAAACAATGGGAACACTTGAACTATGAGATATAATTTTGGGAGAGGAAGGTGTGTAGTTTGTTACTACTGTCAAGTTATTTAAACTCATATTAAAGATGTTAATGTTGTGCCATGGGTAAGCAATATTATACTTGCTTCCAGGGCAGTTCTGTAGCTTGGCTAATGAATATAAATGTCAAAGCATATTTAAGAAACATATCAATCCAGTGAAAATAGTTTTATAGTTACTATAACTGTTTTTTATTTGTATCTGCCTTTAGAAGCAAGACAACTGTTTTTTATTTGTATCTGCCTTTAGAAGCAAGACAACTGGATAAGGTTTCATAAGGCTAAAATGATCCTTATCTATTTTATAGTACGGATCATCAAAGTGAATATTCAGCTTCCTTTTCTTGATAGATGAACTATATTATAGCAGGTTCTTCCCCTAGCATTGCTCATGATTGTTGTTAATTTTAGCCTGGTGGCAATTAAGAATCCTGGTTTTCTCACCATCTGCAGAAGAGTTATTCATTACGTAGGACACCATGAGGAACAGATAAGTGTCTAAGGATAGATAATTGAAAGTCACTACAATTCCCCTCAAATACATTGCCCACCTGTCAGGCTTTTTGGCATAACAAAATTATTTTTCTGTCAATATTCAGTTTTCCAATAGCTAAGGAAATTGCGAGAGAGTATCAACCTCTTTAATTGTTGAAAAAGAACTCTCAGAACATCAGAGCTTTCTGTTTCTCAGGGCAAATGATTAGTTTGCTAAATATAAATAAAAATCCAATTTGCCTGACACTTTGGAATATCTTAAAGTAAATATGCAAATTGGAAAATCTCCTTCACCAGAGTTGCATTAGAAATTAGGGCAAGGTTTTTTTTTTTTTATTTAAGCTGTGAATTTAAATTCAGATTAATAAATTCCTTTTGCTTCTGCCCCCTCTTATTCATACTAACCCCTTTCTTTGCTTCAGGTCCTCCCCTTCCTCTTTTCTCCTTTTGAAGTTTACAGCTTTGAAATACACTATTATTATCTTACATCTTATCTTTCCTTTCCTGCAGCTTCTTTCTACCAACTTTTTGTTAGCTATCTAGGGGCCATTGTGTTTGTGGGTCACCTCTGACTGGGTCTGAGATTCAGGGATATGCTTTTGTTTTCTGGTGATTTGGGGAGAAAAGCTTGACAATCTGGTAAGTGAATATTGATCAAATTTGTGTTGGTAGTAGTTTTTGTCAGATTCACTTTAAATGTATATGCAAGTGTTTGTGCATTAGGTCACTACAACTTATTATAACTGTAGATATCATGTCTCCACTCTTCAATTTTGAATTGAATATAAAAATCAAAGCACCAAAATCTTAATGTTGTATTTTCAGCCTAGCATATTCCTCCAAATTACATTGTGCTATTCTGTCTTCTAACTTCTCTGACTTTAACTAAGTTGGATCCTCTACTTAGTCTAGTGCATCTTGTAAAAGTTCTCTGCACATTTAGAACAGAGAGGGCTTGAGATGTAACCAGAACAGCATTGTGTTGAGGATATGCCTCCTTAACTTGCTCATTGATCTAGAATCTGTGCTTCATCAGTTGCCTGGTCCAGCAAACAAATTAACAAAATATAGATTAGTAGGAGAAAAAGAACATATTTAATTACAGTAGGAGAAAAAAAAACATTTAATTATATATATATATATGAAGTATTCATGTGGCTAAATTCTAAAGTAATTGGTACACACTGAGGACTTTTATTTTTTTTATTTTTTTAAAGATTTATTTATTTATACAAGAACCGGGGTGCAGGCCAGATTTGCGGGAAGGTGAGAGGATTCACCGGAGACAGAGCGGGGAACAGAACAGGCAGACTGATGAAATACACTGCCGAGGGGAGCAGCGGGTGAGATAGGAGAGGTCTGCTCGCCATGTGTGGGACCCTCGCCAGCAGGCCAGAATCGAACCAGTGCTGCAGAGGCTGCAGACAGCTTCATAGTGCTATGCTCAACCGCCTGCTTCACCAGAGGAGGCCCAGGATTTTTATATTTTGAGATAATGAATAGAACAGGGGGCTTATGTGTCAAAAGAGAAGAGGCAGACTCACATCATAAGGGGATGATTCATGACTAAGCCAGATGCTCTAGATGTTTGCATTGTATAAAATAGTTATTTCTAAAGATAACCCTAAATATGAGTAATATTCATTCTTTGATGTAATGATAACAGTTTCTTTGGAAACTTACAGGTCTTCAAATGACCTTTAGTTCCACAGACCAAGTAGGCATGTATTGGGAAAAGCCTGCTCTGGACAGCTTAGAAAAAGTCTATCTGAACATTTTGGAGGGGTCTAGCCTTCATTTCATAATGAGAAGCTTCAGGACATCAAGGGTTTCTATTGTGGTCAACTATATTCTAGATATACCCATTGTCACTCTCATAATTTTAAAACTAAGTATAAGACTTTTTGATAATATTCTTATTAAATTTAATCTTATTTCTTTGGACCAAAAATTCTAGCTTAAGATAGTGTTGCATCTGGTTCTTTCACTTATTATCTTTCTGTTTTCTACCATTCACAATTTGACAAGCATACTTTGAGTCTTATATTAGTCGTTAACAGTCTTTCATTAAATTAAAGAAACTTTTAGAGAGGTTGAAATTATGAATCCATTCCATTTAGTCTTCCACTGGTTATAACTGTATTTCTTATCCTTAAGAATATTAAGAAAGAATTGTCAAATACATATAAAAAAAAACCACATGACATTTACCAAATTGATAATTCCAGTAAAACTGCTAAAGAGAAAGTAAGTCAATTTTGGTTTGATTCTTTCTTAATAAAGCTTTGCTGATTTCCTATTTAATTTAATATTCTAATTACCCATAAACTTCTTGTTTAATAACTTTTCTTATCCCAGCATTTCATGTGACTATTACTTTAATCACTTCCACATTAGAGCTTTTTAACACAGTCTATTAAGGCCCAGTTTTACATGGCAAGACATCCCTATTTTATAGAAGAAGTCATCTAGGAAAGGAAACACATATTATGATTAATTTTCCTGAAATCCATCTATTCCATTAAGTTAGGATAAAAAAAATTATGAGAGTGCAATGAGTATTTTACAAATTATTGGTCACTTTACAGAACAAATAAATTAATCAAATAACTGTATTGAGTGCTATATAGTAGAGAATGTGAAGTATAGCTTTTATAAATGCAGTTTCCTTACGGGAGGTAAAATCTAGATAATGAAAGAAAAATAGCAAAATTATAATAAGAATGAATATATAAAATAATGTTTTACATTTTCTATTCAGTTTGGGACATAAATGAAAGCAATAGCAGATAGGGGAAAATAACAACTTAAATTAATGCAATAATTTAAAAATCATATTGTCTACTTTATCTCCTTTGATCAGAAGGTTTTATAGGGAAAATGAGACATAATTGGCATAAAGCCTGTAATTAAGGTCTGGCATTTTGTGTTGCTTTGACATCTGGATTGCCTCACATGTTCTTTCTGCATTTGCCCTCCCTACAGTGCTTCTGTGCAGATAAGACTCCCTAACCAAGCAACTCTCCTCATTAAAGGGACCAACTACATTTTTTGCAGTTTTTGCTAATCTTGTATTAGTATTAGTTTTTGATTCTCTGCCAGCCCATGGAATTATTTAAAAAAAAAAAAGTCAATCATATCCTTCTTTTAGAAGCAGGGGGAATTTTACCCTCTTGTTACTGCCTGACCTAACTCCCACAGCATGGATTGTTCACTCTGCTCCTATGTGCAGTGGCTTGTGGTTCTACTTCGCTTGAGTTGCCTTTCTCCCCTGGGTTGTGAGTATAGGCGATTAATAAACTGCTGTTATCTTGTTGGTCCAGAGTTGGGTGTATATTTAACTGGTTCCATAATCTTAAAATGAGCAGCCCCTTTTCACCAATGGGGTGAATAAAGCAGGTATAAATACTGAGCCAGGTCTTACAAATGCAGGCATCCTGAGTGTACATCTGTGTGGGGAAGGACAAGTGCCCATAATCATGGGGTATTTGTGGCTCAAGGTGAAGACTCTCCTGACTAGACTAGAAGATACCTTTTGAGGGATAAATGCATTTAAATTGTGATCATGAACCCTAAAGACTGTTCAAAGAACTTGATTCTATGTGGCTTAATTTGATAAAACTTTGCAAAGTGAAGTGTTTTGATAAAAGACGTATTTGAAGAAAATTAGAAATATGGAAAGCAGAAAGGTATGCAATCTCAGGGTTAGTAGAAATTTTAGTTCATGTTTCTTTCAATGTTCAGTTCTTATCTCCTGGATTCCTGCATAAACCTACCTTGAATCCATACCCTAACATATACATACATGTTAGTCATATTTTTAATTAGCCTACCATGGAAATTTTTTTTTCAAGAAACTTTTGTACTGCAAGTAGAACCCAAAGAAAGTGATGGGATTGTTTGCTACTATTTGAGCAGTGAGATGCAAAATAGAATTTAAATGTAGTTTTTCCAGTTAGGAGTGTTTCCATTATACTACTGTTGTCACTGACAAAGACTGGAATTACACTATTTCTCTATGGGATTAGTTTTTACCTTTTGCTTTTTTTTTTAAAGATTTTTTATTTACACATACAAGAACTGTGGTACAGGCCAGAGGTGTGGGGGGTGATAGGATTCACCAGAGACATTGCAGAGGGGAGCAGCAGGTGAGGCAGGAGAGGTCTGCTACGCAATGTGGGTAGCTCACTGCCTAAGGATCAAGCTCGTGCTGTAGAGGTTGTGGATAGTTTCACAGTGCTGTGCTCAACCCCCTGTGCCATCAGGGAGGCCCTGGTTTTTAACTTTTGCAAGTGAAAAATCATGATCTAATTTTATGGTGGGGAAAAAATAATTATACATAGTTTTTTTTTTTTTTTTAGATAGTTTCCCCTGCTTTCTTGAATGTACAAATGTGCAAATGTACAATGTTCCTACGTGTTCTGATTTGTTACATTATTTTGCTTTATAATTGTTTCATAATTAGGGGCCAAAATTGTTTCATAATTAGGGACCACTGCATATATGCACATATATGTATACATGTATGTATACACACACATATATAAATACAGGTCAAAACTCTTGAGCTGTAACTTTTTCATGTGAAAAGAGTTGATGGTTGTATTATATGCTATATTTTCTGTTAGTTTTATTTTGGTGTTGATAAATGCAGGCATTGTCAAATTGGGCACTCCTGGCATATGAAAAGGCATCTACCTTTTTTGTTTTCATTTGAACGATTACTTTATAGGTTGAAGTGTCAAATGTATTTTGGTATGTATGCAAGTGCAATTCATCTATTTTCTTTCTGTCTAAACTAGAATCATAAAGTTGAATATCACATTAAGGTCTGCATTAGTTATTCAGGTGATATGATTTTTTTTTTAAACACAGAAACACCCTGGAGCATTCAATCTTTTTTGTATTCATCTTGGTAACTAGAAAAAGAACTTTGTAGCGGTTGCTTGAAAATGAAAACTGCTGGGAACTGAGGGAGAGAAGATGTGTGCGTTTCTTTGTCCTGAGTCCAGCTTGTGGGGCACACGATTTTACCATGAAGAATGAGTTCTATGGGATTTTTGTGCCTTTATTATAGAAAATAGAAGTTTGAACTTGGGGATATTTTCCCCTTTTTTATGACATTGTAATGTTCTGGACAGATAAATTCCAAACTCCAAGGAGTAATCTAAAACCTTTGAAACATAAAGACTGAAAGTAACAATAAGTAACAAACAAAAGAAGCTTTGTAAATCCCGCAGTAGGAAGTCAGTTCATCACATTACCTTTCATATTTCTCTTCAAAGCAGGCAAACCTTTCAGGTCTCAGGATATTGTTAATAAAATATAGCACTGATTCCCATGACGATTTATTGAACTGTACTCACCTCTGTTCTTTCCAAAAGAATTTTTAAGAAACCTCAAGTTCAGCTGCAACATGCCCATAGGGTAGGGGCGGGAGGGCTAGCATTGGAATAAAGGGAAATATGTGAGAACTAAATGGAAGCTCTGACTAAGCACATGCCTTATTCATAAGTTAATATTCCTTAAATGAGCAAATTATATTTTGAACAGGACATATGCATTATCTGCTCAATCCAATAAGGTGTATCATTCCTGGGATGTTTTTTCTCCATTGGTATTCAAGGAAGCTTTCACATTCCTTTTTGGAGATAAGAGGAGGAGTAATAGGTGTAGGTCTAAAAGGTATACTTCTGGAGGTAAAACACAAATATTATAGGATTGGGAAGGAGGGCATTTTTGGAGATAGTCCAGCCTGCCCTCAGTTGCCCTTCAGGAATGGCTCAAAGCATCTTTGGCCACATACTACTATTCAAACAGTGCTTGTGATCCTTATGGTGAAGATACAATTTATTGAAATGCTTTGACTGCAAATGAGTGCCAGCAATGCAGCTCAGGTGGGGAAAGAGAAAAGAGATGACATCTCCAGATGTCAAGTTCTTGATCTGGTACTTAGAAACAGAAAGCACCCATTTGGGGACTCTCATATTTATTATAATCGAACTTACATTTAAGGGATCACAATGGTTACAGACTATAGGGGTATAAGACTAGGAGGAAGACCAGACACAAGGCTATCACAATGCCTACTTGAAAGCATGTACTAACATGGATTGGAAAGATTCTGTGGAGATGGAGGCAAATGAATAAATTCATGGTGAATTTGAAGGCAAAATGTAACCTGATTGTTGGCTGGATCAATTTGTGATATGAGAGAAAAAGAGGGGGCAGAGATGACTTCAACAGTTTTATCTTATAACTGAGTAAATAGATGAATTCTGTGTAGAATTCACATTTAGAATCTCAGACCTTTTGGAGGAGGGGTAGAATATTTGAGAGAAAAAAAGTGTGAAACGTGTGACTTTAGACTTCACAAGTTTGTGGTTCCAGTTAGACATCCAAAAGGAGTTCTAAGCAGGTAGAAACAGTAATATGGTGTCTGGGTGATGGGTAGAAACTAGAGAGAGACGTTTAAAGCCACTAAACTGGGTGATTATAAGAGTGAATGTAGATAGTGTAGGGGCGAGAGGCGTAGGGATATTCCAGGATTAAACTTTCTGATATATGGAAGTTTTTCGTAAAGAGGATACTTTGTGAGTCAGAATTCTGTTACGAAAATCTCTGCCACAACCATGAACATTGCTATTTCCCCATTATCGTGCTGAAATCCTACAATTCCAATTTAGGCCACTAGAGGGTGAGGTAAGAAAGGGGAGAGAATGAGGATTTGGGGGCTTAATGGTCTAGGTAAAGGACTGAATAGTAGGGGCTTTGATAGTAGGGGTAGGGTGATGACATACACAGTGCAAACCTATTCCCCTAAATCATGTACAGGGTTGTAAACCAGTGTTACCTCAATAATGAAAAAAAAAAAAAGAATCAGCTTGCTTTTGCTCAGCAAAGCCTCTAAAGCAGTGTAAACTATTTATTGGTATACAGACTTGGAAGTCGAGCCTTATGCTTCTGTGATATAACCGTATTGAACAAATTCATCTACCTTCAGACCTCCAGGCATTTGATGTCACTCCTAAACAGTGAAATGGAATTGGAGTTTCAGTGACATGCAGGGCCCTGGTTTAGACTTAAAGAAAAGTGATCTGCTTGATGTTATTTGTTCCCTACTCTACATGAGAAGAGTAAGGAGGAATAGGAATCTTAAAAATAGCATGTCTTCCACCATACCTCGATGTGTGCATAAATAATGCATTTTAGCTGAGTGATATAAAAGTAATTCTCCCTATGCTCTTCTGAGTTCAAGGCTGAGAGGCCTGTAATAAAAGAAAGATAAATAATAGAGTGATAGAAGTTTGCTAATAGGAGTTTATATAATGTACCTGGGAGATATCCTTGGAAAAATAACTCTGCAAAGTGGCTTAAAATTTAGGATTAAAAATAATCTTAATAGGGAGAGGGAAGGCAGATATAGGTCCTTAGGTGAAAGTGAATGAATTTTAGGAAAGATGAATGTGACCTTAAAGGAATAGATGGGAGTTAGGAGTGTGCGACAAAGTTTGTGTGGCTGTGATGTCCACTTAGTCTCCTTTTCTGTGATGTGAATCTTTCTTCCCTTGATGAAACGAACAGGGAGGACATATACGACAACTGAACTTCTTATAGAGACTCTCTTTAGGCAGATAAGGGGAATCTGGAGAAAGCTGTTTCCTGCATTTGCTGTTTTTGACCTGCTGACAACTCACAAAAATCAGTATAATAGCACATGTTGGGGCGCTATGTGCAGTTACCCTTCAGTGATTACCAGAGTTGACCCCGTAACCACAGCTTCTGAAAGCCTTTTCCTGCATAGCCCATATTGAAAAATAAAATAAAATAAAATAAACCTGTGAGCTTCAAGGTCTGTGCTAAAACCTTTTCAGTATGCTGTGTTGTAACTATCTGGCCTTAAATGGCTACTCCCCCAGAGAAAAGTGCTCTGAGCATCTGCCATGAAACATTAGGATAGGGATGCTTTGCTTTAAGACTTTTGACATACCTCTTTTGTGGAGTGTATTTTGTAGCCCTGCAATGCGTCTGTTCCAGGAACTGGGACTCTAGTAAATTGTCTTGGTTTTCTGTTGCTTTATAACAAAATGCCACAAAATCTAGCTGCTTCATATCTTAACTATTTAATTAAATTCTGCACACATGTGGCTCATCACTTTGGGAAGGCTTATGTGACATAAATGAGTGTCACAGGTCTAGCCTAGAGAGTCACATTTCACACAATTAGAGGAATGGAACAAGAAGCTGCAACTAATTTTAATGATGGCTATTTGGACTT